CCCCCCCCCCTTTCGCCCAAACAAAAAATCACTAACCCCTCTCTTCTCTCCCACCAGTCAAACCCGCGCCAACGCCATCCGCGCCCGCGAATGGGCCCAAGCCACCCACGGACCCCAATCTCCCCAATGCAGAGCCGCAAGGGCCAAAGTTCTCGAGTCCCAAGCCGAGGCGGTGGCGTTGAGTGCAAAGTATACGGCCGCGATGACGGCGGAGAGGAAAATTGGACCTGGGTTGAATCGGTTGGCCATGGAGGTGGGGTTTTTGAGGGAGAAGGAGGTTTTGGAGGAGGTGGCGCGGGGACGGGGACGGCTTCGGGGTGGTGGTGGTGGTCGAGGACGTGGTGGTGGTCGAGGTGGTGGTGGCAGCCGCGCAGCGAAACTCACAAGTGCGATGTGATCAATTCTCGAGCGACACCGCAATTCATCTGTCGCTGAGGGGGGAACGTTGCGGGACACTTCCCAGCGAGCAGCGATGCCAGAAGTCACACGACAAATTGTCCGAGGTGGTGGTGGTCGAGGAGGGAAGGAATCGGGTCGAGGATCCTGAAAAGCTGGGTGGTGGTCAATAATGAGATGGAGGCGACTCTTTTTGAGACTTGGCGGCGCTTTGTCTGAAGGCTTGGGGATTATGTGCTGCTACTACTGTTCTCTTAATATGCCCGTCTATGCCGTGCTGCAATACACACGCACACATACACACATTCTCTCTCCGTCCCAGTTTGCGTCTCGTTGCCAAGCCTATCCGTCCAATTCCTACCTACCTTACTGACCACTTCACTTCTCCCTCATATCGTCACGAAGGAAGAGCGGGTTCAACAACGCAGCGGCCCACTCATAGCTGGTGAACAGGATCCCACCACTAAACACCGTCCTCCCCAATCTCATCGTCGTCCCTCTCCAGAAGCCCTTGATCCCATAATCCAACATGATGCTCCTGAACGCATCAACCGTACTCGCACCCCTCGAACTCTGACATCTCGTCTTAATCATATCAAACGGCTGCGTCGCCAACGTCGTCACCACACCAGCCACACTTCCATTCGCAAAATTCGTCGTCGTACTCTGCTCAATCCCCTTGGTGCGTTCATAGTCCTTGAGAATATTATACGTGCCCATTCGAAAAGCCGTTGCGCCCGCTTGTTTCAACGTCGTGCCTGCGAAACCACGATACATGCCTGCCAGACCGTCTTCACGCAGAATAGTTTTGACGCAATGTCTCGCATTCAGAAAGCGTCTCTCGGTTCTCGCGTCATCGATCAATGCGGTTTTGATTCGTTCCGTGGGCGTCACGGCCGTGGCGGAGGCGACGACGCCGCTGGCCATTCCCGAGAGCATGTTTCGTAGTGGCGAGAGGGTGCCGGTTTCGGGGTCCTTGAAGGTGTTTTTGATCGTGTCGAAGGAGAGGAAGCGGATGCCATCTTTCCCCACGGAACCGATGACGAGAGGGAGACAGCCTTTGTATAATGCTCGGATTCCTTCTTTGGAGTAGACTTGGTAGACGACTTTGAAGGGATTTTTGGGTGTGGGTTGGCCTTTCTTTTCGCGAAGTTGGACGCGTGTTTTGGCGAATTCGAATGGATACTGTCCGGTTTTGGTCCTTTTTAGCTTATTCTCGAAAATGGTATTGGAGATGATGTGGACGGACAGTGGCAGCTCCCTCGATTGCTCCTGCGATGCCTCCGGCGAGGAGCGATACTATCATGGGTGTATTTGGGCCATCCTGATTGGTCTGGTCAGTGGAATTGGGGTGAAATGCTCGCAAATGATAGGTATGCTTACATCCTTCATTGCTTCGAATCTGGCACTGCAAAAATGCGGTGAATAAGTGATGTGTTGGCAAGAATAGGGGAGTGAGTGCTTGGCGGATATGTCAACAAGGTGAAAGTGTGGGAGCCGAGGTCTTGGGCGATGTCGGCCTCTGGCGACGGAAGGCCAAAGTGGCCAAGGGCCACGAATAATCACACTTCACGTTGTCCTTTCAAGAATGTGTTAAGGTAATCATGCCATTGCGTTGTCTAGGGTATCATCGATATGTACAGTTCTTCCATGACATTCGCGTCGCTATGCCAAAAAAAATATTATAGGTGCATGTCAGTCAAGAGCAGCTGGTTTAGTCATGATGGTTCCGTTGCAGCCCCTCATTCGTCCTCGTCACCCTTCTCCTTTTTGTCGTCCTTGTCCTCATCCTTTTCCTTCTTCTTCTCTCGTTCCTTCTTCAAGGCCTCCCTGACCTTTTCATCGCCCTCATCTTTTGTTTCGTCCCAATCAACGTCATACTCCTCGGCAATGATCTTGATCTCTCGTCGCAGTCGATTTCCTTCCTCCACCAACATCTCCCACTTAGGCAGATCGAAACCTTTGGAATGATACAAGTGAGCCTGTCTTCGACTCATCGTGACGTGCATTGCGCTCTTGTAGCTCACTTCGCGATTGTGGTACAAGAACCACATGTAACCCCCAATGATACCTGTCAGTCCGACTAGATATGTCACGGGCTCCATCACATCCCAGCCCAGTTCGGTACGGAATGTCAGATAGTATACGACAGCCCACCATCCCACGAGGCCCGAGAACCCGAGTTTGGCCACATTCTTCGCTCCTCGTTCCGCAAGGTTGTCGCATTCCTGTTTGATGTCTGCCAAGTTAGATATACGTTTTGAGATTTTCCGCAGCCGCATTCGAAGATAGTAAGTGCGATCGCGAAAGCTCGGAACACCAACATAAATAGCCTCTGGAGTGCCTTCGATATCAACAGCGAACTCCTTTCCTCTCGCGGCGTCGCGGATAAAGTCGCCGATCTCGGTGGAAGGAGACCAGCGCACGAAGTTGGGATGGGCAGGATCGGAAGCTTGTGCCTTTTCACGCTCGGCTTTCATCTTCTCTTTCTTAGAGCCAGAGATGACGCCAGTTTTGGAACGTTTCCCGTCTACCATGGTCTCATCTGCTTGATCAAGAGCTTCATCTTCTTCTTCGGCCTGCTCTTCCGCTGCTTCCTTTGTCTCACGGCTCTCTGCAGGAGTCTCATCACGACCAATGATCTCATCCATGTTGTCTTCTGCGCGGAAATGCACACTGGGGGGACGAGTCTTGCCATCCTTGTCGTCAATGAACGGTATTTCGGATTGTATCAATCGTTCTAGGTAGCTCAATGGCTGCTGGGGATGGACCAATAGCGCCAACGGCTCCACATTCTTTCGGTCCTTGTTGTTATCTTTCGTGCTCAGCGGCAGTATGAGCTTCAGCATGCGCGAGGGAGTGGTCAAAAGCTTTCCCTTGGTCATTGCCCCAGCGCTTCGCGGCCGCGAAACTGGAGGCACATCTGAGCCCGCATGCATCCAGGGGCTCCGCGTCTGCATTTCCTTGGATTGCTTCTCGATACGCGAGAAGTGGTCTTTCTCTTCTGATGTGACATCTTGAGACAAATTTGCCGCAGGTTGGGAGTAATGGCTGTCTGGAGCCGAGGCCGTGTCGAAGGGCTTCTTCTGCTCTCTGATTCGGTTTGTGTCGGTCGTCGCGAATAGGCGCTTCAGGCGTAGTTGCGACGATGTGGCCGAGGTGGCTGTGGTTCTCGATAGTGGTGTGCGTGATCTGGAGAGGCTGCTGGCACGCGGTGCGGCCTTGACCATCAGGCGCGATACGAGGGGCTCCATGGTGCTACAAGATGACCAAGTCAATGGATCTCGTATGTCCAAGAAGCTTCTTGAGTATACCTGCGATTAGGAAGTACAGGTAATGTTGGAGAAGCAATAGCAGAAGCAACCTGAAGCAGAAGAAGAAGCAAGTGAAGCACGCGTCAAAACCAGATTCACGGCCAGCCTTACGTTGGGTACGTCATAGTTCGTTGTATGCCGACCCACGGGCTCCATACCTTAGCGACTGACCTCAACAATACATTACCTAGGGAGGCAATATAGCGCCCGTAGGTAAAGATATCGCCTTGGCGAGAGTTCATAGACGTCGAAGCGAAGAGAGAAGACGGACGAAGTGCAGGTGGTGAAGGATGGGGAGATACAGAGGTAAGGTACATATGTAATCAAGACTCTCTGGTCGAGGAACCTGGTCGAGACGTGTCAATGGAACCGGGCATGCTTGTGCTCTCAAGCTTCCATGGCGTGATGCCTGCGGGATTATCATTATTCACAGCACGTGTGTGCAGGATAGTGCTGCTACATACACCAACGAGAGTCGCATCGACCACTTCTCCCATGACTGTTGTGGTTGCATAAATTCATTATAAGATCCTCCAGAGCCCGGCTCGCTCTTCCTGTTCCTACCGCCTCATGAAGACCAGTCCGCCCAAGATTTGCAGCCCAACAACCATTCCTATCGCATATATCCAGTTGATCACAGTCGCCCGGATGGCATCTCCCTCGACAATCAATATCGTCCCGCAGTCTCCCGCCTCAGTGGTAGGTAATCCAGGTCCGACAGCAACCAGTGTCTTGCAATATTGGCCAAAATAGCCCTCCGGCTTCGATGGTGCTCCTACCACTACGACGGTAGCAGGCGGCTGCTGTTGCCATACAGTCGTGATCGGCTGTGCAAAGCCCGAGCAAACTTTGCCATTCGGACAGCACGCGACAACACTGTCTTGCCAGGCACAGTAGTTGTTGGCCGGACAGCAGCTGCACAGAGCCATTAGTGACCGTGACCAACACATAGTAGGTTCGTGCATCCGACTCACTAATCTGGCTTTTGTATGCTCGAACAGGTCACTGGGAAATTCGCTGGACACTGTGCTTGTACTGCTGGTGATCCGCTTTCGCTCCAACCTCCACTGCCCCCAGATGATGTCCCGCTGTATGTTCCCTGCCCATTGACAATCTGTAGCGATCCGGTAAAGTTCTCCACATATTGTGCCAGTGTTGGAACCGCGCCGAGTGCCAGAAATATGGTCGTTACTACGCGCAGGCGCACAGCGTTTGGAGCGTGCATAGCACCGCTACCTATTCTTCGATTGTATAGTGGTGGTGGACTTGGTTGGCCTTCCTTTTTCTGATGTGCGCGAGACCGCTCCGACCCGCTATGCAGCTGCAGCAGCAGTTCCAGCAGCACCAGTCGTACAACCTCCTCTTTCTGATGCGCAAGCAATGGCAGTGAGCGTCCCGAGTGTGGTAGCACTGGGAAGCCACACCGACAATGGGAAAAGTAAGAGGGAAACGGGCAAAAAGAAGGTGGTCAGGAACCACTGAAACCAACAACCTTACCAGTCTAGACTCTTCGTGCGCTTCCACCAGCAGAATACCTAATCAAGGTCTGCCATATGCGAGGCTGCGAGAGGGAAGCTTGGAAGTAGGACTATCCCGGCTTTCCGCGCGTTGGGCATTGGTTCAGGTAGCTCTGGATAAGAGCGGTGGCTGGGTGGATGACTGTCGGATGCTGATTTGTGCCGAAGGTTTCCAGCAGGGTTGCCTCATTCTCTATAGTACTTGTAGTCATCATCATCATCGTCAGTGAAAAGATACAGGTACCAGTGTACGCACTCATTGTTCTTGCACATGCTGGTGTCGGTCGATTCGTTCACTTCGTATAGAATGTGAGAAATCTCGGAAAAGGTGTTGTGACTCGTGGTAGTGAGGAGCAACGGAGCCTCGGAGAAGGCTGCGAAATGAGGAGCCAAGCGACTGATCCCTACTAGGTCCGACGACGACGACGTGTATGCCAAACCAACTCCCGTGCTTCCTGTCAGCACAACATTTCCAGAGCTCACCGGCGATGATATCTCAGTACCTGGTGCATTGGGAACCAGGCAAAAAACTGCAAGGAGCTCTCCGTAGGAGTTTGAATAGGTGGAACTTGCCCGTATGCCAAAGGCAGTCGACTGTCTCTGCAGAAAGGCAAAACATTCAACGACGAAGATGACAACATCAAATAGCGAAGGGTGTGAGGTGTGTAGAGATGAGAGGAAGAGCGTTGCGCCCGGTAGAAGGATACAAGTAAGATCGATCATACGGCAGAACCCCTTTTTTTCTACAGAAGAATTTACACCAGGTTTGCTACCAGAAATACGAGAACTGGATATTGAAACGTTACCTTACCCTCTGCAGACATAGCGAAGGCAGCGGAAACGGTAAAGACGGCGGTGACCAGCAAGACATAGCGGTTCGTCGCCTCGAAGATCCTACCTCTACCGTTGCTCGCAAATACAGACACTTGGTATGTTCTTTCTACATGATATCGGCGACTACGACAGAGGCTTTTATATAATATTGCCAGTGCCATACAGCATCCATCTCGTCGATCAGCCCGCTATGCCTATCATGGATGCTGACGCTCTACACCAGCTGAGGAGCAGATAGGATCTGCAGATCACAAGGGTTTTGTAGAACCTATTGCGCTATAACAAGACCAAAAGACCCCATTCAATTCCTGGGCAGCCTGGGCTTGAATAGAGAGAGACTGTAGCATGGCACGGCTGAGCTATCAGTAGTTCGTCGAGCTCATTTGCGTAATGGTTGATCTTCGTGCTCGCGTGTGTGAGACCTTCCCGAGCACCCTTGTGCTATGATCGCTGATCTGACAGGCCTTGCAATTGACTTGAAATGGTCTAAGGTGGTTGATGTACCATTGTACCCCCACGTAGTTAGTATTCACGCCTTTGTGGCATACAGAAATCTACTCCGATACAACAGACACAATCGAGCTTACTGCCTGTGAGCCTTGCACCTCTCTCATCATCCTGCCTGCAAAAAGACTCTCTCTCTCTCTCTCTCCCACACATACACACACATTAATCGCGTCAAAAGATGGCAACCCCTAATCCACCCCCAAACTCCAATTCCGCCCCCGAAATCACTTACTGCTCCAACAACCCCACCTACCACAACAACAAAGATGCCGCATACATTCTTCCCAACGACCAAGTCGAACACGCCCGACTAGAAGAACAAGCTCGCCACCTCCTCGCCATCATGAACAATGAAATCATCCACTCTCCCATCCCCACCAGCATCGGCCCGGGAGCCAAAATGCTCGATGTAGGCTGCGGAACCGGCATCGCCACGGATTTCATCGGCTCGAAATTCCCTCTTGCAGAAGTCTATGGGTTGGATATTTCTCCTGTGCCAATTCATGTCCGCGCCAATCGACCGTCGAATGTGAGATTTCTGACAGGGAATTTCATGGTGGATGAACCGGGGGAATGGTATTCTTCTGTTGTTGTACAAGGGAACGAGAACGAAGAAGAAACATATTTCCCTCTTTCAAGAACTTCTTGTTGTTCTTCTTCTTCTTCTTCTTCTTTCGATCTCATCTTCTCTCGTTTCCTAGTCTGCGGAATGACCCACTGGCCGCAATACATTTCCCGCATACACCACCTCCTCAAACCCGGCACCGGCTACATTGAACTGCAAGATTTAGATTTCACGTGGTATAACAAAAACCACCAACCAATTTCTCACACCTGGAAATGGCTACAAGCCGTCAAAACCGCCGCACTCGAAAACGGAATGGATTGGTCGTGTGCTAGCAAATTCCCGCAATGGTTGGCGGATGCCGGGTTTCAAGATGTCGTGGTGAAGAAGTATAAATGCCCTCATGGAAGTGTGGGGTTGGAAGGGGGAGGTGAAGAGAATCAAAAGTGGAGGGCTTGGGGGGAATTTATTGCGAAGCAACAGGCGGGGTTGGTGTGGTATTTTCTTCCGAGGATGTTGGCGTCGAAGGGGTATAGTGAGGAGGAAATTGAGGGGTTTAGAAAGGAGGCGATGAAGTGTTTTGAGGTTACTGAGGAGAAGTATTGGGTGATGAGTGTGGTTGTTGGGAGGAAGGGCTGGTAAGGAATTTTTTTCGAATTTCTCTTTTTTTTCGATGGGCGGTGGTGGTTTTCTGGTTTACCTTACCCAAGGTACCTGTATCCAATGGCAATGGGAAAAAGAGTGGAGACTCAGGTTATTGTAGAAATGCTCATTCAATTAAAATGTCTCGCACTGTGAGTGATCAGAATGAACGAACCAACTCCGCAGCCTTTTCCATACGACCTGCATTGAGTCCCCAATGATACAATTCGAGCTCCGTTCTATGGAGGTACCTCGGTGCCTGATACACATCAAAACTACGGTATACCTAGGTACATACATGTACCTCAAGCACACAACAAATCCCACTTCATAGCCAACAAAACCCAACACTCCACCTTCAATGCTCCCCCATTCCTCTCCACCTCCCTCTCCCAAGCCACATCAAAGCCCCGTTCCCAACTCTGCGCATCCCCCTGCTGTCCACACGCCGCATCCAGGATCCCTTGAACTTCACCTCGTAACCGACTCAACTCCTCACCCGTCACCACAATCTCCCTCTCCATCACTCTGACTTTGCCCAATTCAAACTGTGCCGCTGCAGCCAATTCTCGCAGATTTTCCGCTTCGCTGACGGCGGTGACGCCTTCTGCTGTTGTGGTGGTGGTGGTGGTGGTGGTGGTGGTGGACGAGCTGCTACGACGATGACCCGAGCTACCTTTTTGCATGACGGATTGGAGAATTTCTTCAATGGGATTGCGCTTGGTGACGGAGACGATGGCGATGCCTTTGGGGAGGAGGGAGTAGAAGATGTTTTTGAGGGTGGGAAGGGTTTCTTCGCGACGATAGACTCCAATGTGTGCTAATGCGTGGGTGAAGGCATCATCGGGAAGGGTGGGCACAATTTCGATCTTTGTGGTTTGGGTGAGGGAGGGGGGGATGGAAGTTGTTGAGCTTGATGATGATGATGCCGATGATGCCGAAGCTGACTTTGGTGGTGAGATTGTGATACTGAGGGGACAGTCGAGGTTGGAGTCTCGGAGCCAGGAGAGGAGAGTCTCGGCGAGCTCAATGTCTGAGGTGTGGAGTTTGGATGCGCTGGTGATGTTCAGCTTGGGCCAGTTCTCTTGCCAGATGGATTGGAGAAAGGCCTTGCGCGAGGGTGCGAGTGCCGTGGTGATGGAGTCTGGAGCCTTGTCCATGTTTCGGAACTGTTTCCTCAGTTTGAGGTTTAAGGGCACGTCTTAAGAGGCAGCTTGATGCTGGTTTGAGGTACCGTCCAGCTGATGAGGACCAATGCTGCAATAACAGGATGGATGACTTGGAGAATGAGTAAGTCACTTAGTGTCTGCCTGCTCATTGAGAAGAAGCTCGGAGGGATTGATTCCGCTTTCCGCATCAGCTCAGCTTTGGCATCCTTAAGGTAAGGTATTTGCCGTACCACAAGACAGCATGTCAGCATCACGCTTCCCATAGGTAGGAGGTTCGTTCCAAGGTTATTGCCGTGACCCCTCCTCCCCTCACCGTGAGAGTAGAGGTCAGCGAGGTGCACTATCTTTTGGTCAGGGGTGACGGAGGAGTAGGGTCCGAAGCAGGCCGTACAATGCATAGTAATTGCATACAACATGGATAACATCTTCACTTCCATTGCTTCACTTCTTTCGAGGTAGCGGGAGAGCGGGATTTGGAATGCGGTCCTGGATTGGATTTGGGAACGCATATGCATCTCTTCTGCATCTTCTTCTTCATCCAGCGACAGAGCCTCAGGCTTTTTGGACAATGTCTATTTGTAGTCAAGCTGTCCTGCTTTTGTAACTTCCGGTCATACCCTGTATATGTACAATTGTACATGTACATACATAATGTACCTGTAGCTCCTAGCTGCAGTCAGCTTCATTCGTCGTCGCCGTCGTCGTCGTCGTCCTCAGTGACGTCCCCTTGCGTCCGTTGTTCCCCTTCCCTTCTGCACGGGGAGGCACATGATAGATCCACCCAGACGCAGGGAAAGGAGGTCAAAGATGGGATGTGTGGCTAACTGGTGGGAGGCGTGGTGGGTCAGTCGGCGCTAAACATGTAGACGAGTCCCTAAATGATGCCATTAAAGCACGAGCTGGTGTCACATGAAACTCGGCCAAGTCGCAAAAGCCTCATGCTTTGAAGTGTGTTTGTATGTGGGTGTGTGGGTGTCGGGCTGTCTATCGTGCCCGGGAGCAGACAAAGATTGACAAGAGAGAGTGTGTGTGTGCCACCAGGTGCCTGTATCTTGCGGTTGATGACGAAGCTGTACTTCTGCCCCATTTCCCAGTCCATCATCTATAGAGAAATGACCATATGTTCTAGTCGGGGATACCACGGGACATGAACAGTCCTGGATCACATTGTCAGCGCCCCCTCGTCCTGGTCACCGTCTAGCTAACTACCTAGGACTTTAGGAGTAGGAGAGCACGCAAGCAAGCAGCATGCATGTCTGGCACGCCATGCCATGCTTTAATTGACACACCCATAACATAACATCAACCTGGAACTTCCCACCTCAACAGTACATCTATAACCACGCGCGCACTTATTGATCGGTAGAGACGTGAGCGAAAGAAAATAAACCGGCCACTGGACGACAGTACGATGAGAGCTCGGTCGACCGAGGGGCAGCTCAGGTTATCAGTATGCCTAAATCGGTGCAATCCGTCGCCTCCCACGTTTCGAGCAGCTTCGCCGACGACGACGACGACGATGAGGACTACGAGATAGACGAACATCAAGCAGAGGCCATTCGAAATGCCTACCGAAACGCCTTTGCGAGCCAAACCCAAAACCACACCACCGCCACCGAACCGCGGGACAGCCCCATCACCCGCCGCCTCGCATCCCAACAACCCTCGGACAACGACCTTGCCGCACGCGGCCGTCCTCACCGAAGTCTGCAATTTCCCGCCGACGAGAGCACAGGTCTTCTGTCCGCTTCACAAACCACGCAATCACACCACAACTATAGAACAACTGCCGGCACGCCTGCAACGCCCCGCTATGGCTTCGCTCGAGCCCAAAGCCATGTCAACTCTGTTCGTGGCAGTCGACGAGGCTCTTTTGCTCGAGGTCTGATGAAAACGTTCAATCCGAATGGCACCTCTCCTGCAGACCACACCAGCCCTACGAGCTCCAGACTCCGCCAGAAGTTGTACTGGGATGACCGAGTGTGGTATGATCAGTTCACCTCGACCGACTGGGTACACGACAGCATCGCAGATGCATATCGGGTGAAAGAGCTACGCAGTCGGAAAGATTTCCGTGGAAGAGTAGGAGCTTTCTTCGATGGCGCTCAAGGCTGGCTGTTGGTCTTCTTGATAGGATGTGTGACCGCTGGGTTCGCATACTTGATCGATGTGACTGAAGCCACTATATATGATTACAAGTCGGGATACTGTGCAACGCACTGGTGGTATAGTAAGAGAATGTGCTGTAATGGTGCTTCCTCCTGCCGCGCCTGGCAAAGATGGTCAGGCCTTGCTGGTACTGACGACGGGGAACAACGCGTGTGGGCTGATTATGGCGCTTTTGTCTGCTGGTGTGTCGGTCTTGCTGTATTGGCGTGTGCGATTACATTACAGACCAAGACTACCGTCTCCAGTGCGATTAGCTTGAGTACGCTGGATGAGGACCTGGCGGCGGATCATCATGATCCTGCAAAATGTGGAGCAGAGGGAGGGCTGAAGAGTGGCTATGTCAGTCCAACACAGAGGTTTGAAGAGGCGGCGAGACGACCTCCTGTCACATACTATCCTGCTGCTGGGAGCGGTGTGGCGGAGGTCAGAGTCATTCTTTCGGGATTCGTGTTACACGGATACTTGGGAGTGCGCACTCTTCTCTGCAAAACCGTTGCCCTGGTTCTCAGTGTGGGCTCTGGAATGTCCGTTGGAAAGGAGGGCCCTTATGTGCATATTGCTACAAGTATTGGCAACATCATGACTCGCTTCTCCAGCAAGTATCGCAACAATGACGCCAAACGTCGAGAAATTCTATCGGCATCTGCAGCAGCTGGTGTTGCTGTCGCGTTCGGAGCACCCATCGGCGGAGTTCTATTCAGTCTGGAAGAGGTCAGCTATTACTTTCCACCAAAGACGCTTTTCCGTACCTTCTTCTGCTGCATTGCCGCTGCTCTATCACTGAAAGCACTCAATCCATATGGCACAAACAAGATTGTGCTCTTCGAAGTCAGATACCTCTCAGATTGGAACTTCTTCGAGATCATCATCTTCGCGTGTCTGGGTGTGTTGGGTGGCGTGATGGGAGCACTGTTCATCAAGGCGTCGAGACTCTGGGCCAAGACGTTCCGGAAACTCTCTTTCGTGAAGAAGTATCCTATGCTTGAAGTCTTCATTGTTGCACTGGTTACTGGTCTGGTTAGCTTCGACAACCGCTACCTGCGGCTGCCCGTGGCTGAGTTGCTCTACGAACTGGCTGCGCCCTGCAGTAGCTTCTCAAGCTCTGGCACGACTCTGTGTCCAACAAAGGAAGGGATACCGTCAATCATAAAGTATTTGCTGGTTGCGTTCGTCATCAAGGCAATTTTGACGACTGTGACCTTTGGCACCAAGGTACCTGCTGGTATCTATGTGCCCTCCATGGTGGTTGGTGGCCTGCTCGGACGCATCGTTGGGCATACCGTTCAATTTCTCGTCCTAAACTATCCGGCTCTGGCCTCCTTTGCGGGTTGCGAGGATAACGGCAACCCGGAAAGCTGCGTCGTTCCTGGTGTGTACGCACTAGTTGCAGCAGGAGCAACGATGTGCGGTGTCACTCGACTATCAGTGACACTCGCTGTCATATTGTTTGAGCTCACTGGCAGCCTGGAGCATGTTCTGCCTTTCTCGCTGGGTGTGCTGATAGCCAAATGGACCGCTGACGCCCTCGAACCACTGAGCATTTACGACTTACTAACAGACATGAATGCCTATCCCTACCTGGATCACAAAGTCCGCCCCATCTTTAGCACGGACCTCGGCGACATCACATCAGAGCCAATGCCAAACCGCTACATCGACATATCCACCTCACCGTTCGTACCAGCAAAGCAGCTCCGCTCCAAGCTCGAGTACCTCCACATGGCAGGCGAACTAGACGGAGGTCTCCCTATCCTCAAAGATGGCATCCTAGCAGGCCTCATTCCCGGTCCTGACCTTGAATTTGCCCTCGACAGGATTCCCGATGAAGAAGAAGCCGTGTGCCGAATGGATGCGCACGACCAAGCTGTCCATCACACCGAACACGCCCGGCCTTCCACTGCAGATGAACACGAACACGACATTTCTGAAGACGAAGAGGAGGCACAGTCAGCTCGTCTCCATCACGATACCGACGATCCCACCGACTTGACACCTTACATTGATCCTTCCCCGGTGGCATTGGATATCACCAGCCCCATGGACCTGGTCTTTGAATGCTTCGCCAAGTTGGGATTGAGGTATATCTGTGTTTTGCATGAGGGGAAGTATGCGGGCATGGTGCACAAGAAGGCGTTTGTGAGATATGTGAAACACGTGCAGGACGATTATCGATACGGTAGGCTGGGAGAAGGACATATGTGATGCGCATATGCCGCGAGAGAAGATGCAATTCCAAGGAGATTTGGAGATGGGACCCAGGAAGGCGCTGCATCTGCTTACATGTTGTGCGTTCGAGCGACATCTCGCTGCCTGAAGAAAGAGAAGAAAGAGAAGAAAGAGAGCAAGACAGAAAAGGCGCGAGCTTTCTGGTAGTTGGTAGCATTCTGCGACAGTACATGTACCTTGGTGAACAGAAGACGCGAATGGACACGTCCGACAGCACCGAGTTGGTATTTACATGTACAGTAAGGTAGTAGGTACTAGGTAGTACTTATTAGGGGTAATTGTGTCAAATTGACAGGGACTGATTAGGGCTATCGGATCGCTGCGAGCACGGCTCCCGGGTTCATAATATGTGACCGTGACGACGCTTCGCCTCATTCTCCATGCCGGTAGGTAGGTATCACTGCTGTGTAGTACATGTAATTGTAACGTGCTCCCAAACCACACATGTCACCCGCAAGTGGCAGTCTTCCAGACCCTTCTAGGCGATGCGATTTATAGGTCAGGCAAACAAGGTCGTCACCCGTGTCTGAGAGTGTCTGAGAAGTGGCGGATTGTGGACCTCTCGCTTTGTCGGAGGCCGATCCAGCATCTCCATCTTCTGCAGCGCTTGTGCTTGATAGACCGGGCCCCAGGGCAGGGCTCGCCTTATCCCTCCACTCCACACCCACTTTCTGTGTAAACATTCCTTGAAAACCAAACCCAAGACCACACCCGCGCACACTCACCCCGTACAACCCGGCCTCAACAGGTACACATGGCATTGGCAACGTGAACAGACATCTCCACACGCTGTCCTGTCACCGGCAATTGCCATTCTGCATTCCTTCTCTCACGCCCGCCCGGCTGCAGCATCTTCAAAAAGATCTTCAATCCATCCACCCTGACTTCCTTCTTTTCTTCTTTTCTTCCTTTCTTCCTTCTTTTCCCTTAGTCGCCCTGTGCCCTTTGCGCCTGCTTCACTTCGCTGTCGCCCCTGTCGCCGCTGTTGCTCAGTGAGGCAGTCTCGGCTTCACGCGCACAACGCACATCCTGGCTTCGTCGCAGAAGAAGCGAAAGCTCGCTCCCTTTGCTGCTTCCAGGCCTCCCTCCGCAGACAACCGCTCTTCGTCACCTACACCGACTGACGGCGAGCAGCAACATTATCAACAACAACAGCAACTGTCCACCGGCACCTCCTCCATCGTCGATCCCCTGGAGATACGCTCATCGCCACCGCGGTTCATACCACCACATCTGCACGACGAGGTGCTGCCCAGTCGCGAACAGCACCCTTTGGAAGGGGAAAGAGCGATCAGTCCCAGCGCTGCGTTCGCGGAAGTCACCATTGGAGGCGCTGCGGATGAGAGTATGTCGGAGAACGGAGGTGCGAGCGGGAGCGGCGAAAGGGCAATGGTCGGTGCCGGGAGGACGTTAGGAGGTGCAAGGAGCGCCAGCCCAGCGAAGAGGAGACTGGAAGAGATGGAGGGTGTGAAGAGAGACTCTGTAGTGCCTGCTGTCCCGACAGTTGTGCCCCCACCAGAGAGCATTGCCATGGAAGATGACGAGCCGGAGCTAACACCCCAAGACGTAGCAATGACAGGGCTTCAAGAGAGCGGCACGGAGACAGTTGGTAGCCACTACACGGACACGAGTGAGGAGACGAGTAAGGCTTCCAGTGCCACGAGTGACGGCGATCAGTTGCCTGCCTATTCAAAAGATGACGATGAGCGCTGGGCGAAGTCGAAGCCTGGTGCCGAGCCGACTCACCGTTTCTACACCACGGAGGAGACTGATGCGCAAGTGGCCAAGGTCATGCAGATGCAGAGCATGCCTTCAGAAGGCGACGTTGGTGTCTGCATATCTAATCGTTGGCTCAATAGGGTGCGATCCCGCACGACAGAGGGCTTGAAAAGCAAGCAGTTTCCAGACGATGCCAGAGATGGACCTGTTGGCCAGCTGGACTGCTCTGATATCGTTCCTGAAGGTGGCTTTGATGCTCCCATTCTCAAAGACGTTAACGGCAAGTCCTTTGTGCCACTCAAGCCCGATGGAAGCGAGCACGACTTTGAGATACTGCCCAATGCCGCGTACGAATACATCGTTGCAGAATATGGCTCGGTTTCAGGCCAAGTGGCGATTCGACGATATGCACACAACACAGCCGACGAGGATGCTGCTGGCGACAACGTTCAATTCGAGTTACATCCTCCCGTGATCACTGTCCGTAAAGTGCCGCAACCAGGTGCGGCCTCGATGGGTGGTGCAGCTCCAGCTCTGAAAGCACGTGTCGAAGGAAGGGATAAATTTGGTCAGCGGAAAGATACTGATGCTCTCCGCCTTGTCAGCTCGCGCTCTGAGAAGTACCGGGAGTTCGTGATCAGGGCAAAGAATGCTGCTGGAATCCCTGTCGGCAACAAGACCAAGGTATTCCGCCTCCTCAAAACATCATCTGGAGAACCTCGCACTTCGACAGACATTACCATTGCTCAGAATGGGGCGTTAACTCCTCCAGCTTCGAGATCAAGCTCGCCTGCTGAAGCAGATGTCCCGGAACTGATCATGACACCTGAAACGTTCAAGAAGACGGTAGGCACCGATCTTGAACCCGCACTTGTTGACGACCAAAGCCATAACGACAAGTACAATGGTGGTGGCCAAACCACGATGCAAATGGCTGGCTTTTTTGAATCAATGACTATGATTCTCGAGGAGCAAATTGGCGGTCCTGCGGGTGGAGAGTTCCGTTCAGACTCCATGAATAAGGCTCTCAGCATCGTGAAAAGCAACCTCAATTCGAAAGCCAGCACAGCCAACAACTCCAGGGCGACTAGTCCTGCCCCTGGGGGCATGACTACGAGAGGTCGGGCTTTGAAAAATGGCAAGACGCGAGGCACCGTTGGACTTCAGAATCTAGGCAACACTTGCTACATGAATTCTGCGCTGCAATGCATACGAAGTGTCGAAGAACTTGCCATATACTTCTATACCAAGAAGTACAAAAAGGATATCAACAATGGCAATCCATTGGGATACCACGGTGCAATGGCCAACGCTTACCAGACTGTGATCCAGGGCATCTATGGTAACAACACAGGTGGTTCGTTTTCACCTAGGGACTTCAAGAACACACTTGGAAGACATCAGCCAATGTTCTCTGGTTATGGTCAGCAGGACTCACAGGAGTTCCTCAGCTTTCTCGTCGATGCTATCCACGAAGACCTCAACCGAATTGACAAGAAGCCGTATGTTGAGAACCCAGACTCTGACGACAGTAAGGTTCACGATCCTGAGTACATTCGCGAGCTTGGCGAGACCTACCAGAAGAACCACAAGCTGCGCAACGACTCCATCGCAATGGACCTGTTTGGCGGTTTCTACAAAAACAAGATGGAGTGTCCAGACTGTAACAAAGTCAGCGTTACCTTCGATCCATACTCTCTTGTGACTGTGCAATTGCCCATGGAGATTGCTTTCCAGCATGATATCACTTACATTCCGCTGCATGGCAGACCCTTGTTACATCATATTGATATCGACAAGAACTCGCCAATTAAGGCGCTGAAAGAGGTTCTGGCGAAAAAGCACCCTGGCGCAGATGCAAGTCGCATGTGGATGGTCGAGGTATACAATCACAAGATCTACAAGGTTTATGATGACAGTACAGTGATTGCTGAATCTGGCATTTTGGCTAACGACCACCTCTTCATCTTCGAACTTGAGCAAACGCCAAGAAATGCCGCCAAGAGATCGTACGACTCGCTCAATAAGGTGAACGCAGTCCCCGCAGATGGCATGGCGGCACCTCAAGCGGATACATTTGCTGTACCTGTCTTTCAGCGCACGAAGAGCAATCAGAGCGGTTACTCTCTGAGCGATCACCCCATATACATCACCGTGAGCCGGGAAGAAGCCAAAGACTATGACACCATCCTCAAGAAGGTTTTGATCGCCGTAGCCAACTTGACCAGCCGACCTATTCTCAAAGAATTCGAGGAGGATACGATCCCTAACCGCGTCGAGGAGCTTGAAGACGAACAGAATGGCTCCGAAGAATCGGCAGTCGTCAGTGATCATTCTGCGCAGTCGGAAGACGGCTACGTCAACGTTTCCATTGACAACTCCCCACAGGACGCTGAAATGCTGGACAACAATGACGAGACCGGACAGCTCCACACCGACGAAGTTTACATTCCCACGAATTTCATGGAACCGCACTACTTTATTTCACCTGCTTTGCGGAATCAGCTTTTCGACGTGCAATATGCTGCAGCTAAAGGCTCCGGCATGCACTGCGCCGATGGCTACAGTGGCTCATTCCGCGAGGATACCATACGACCGATGTATGAGCGTGTGAACCGCATGTCTCGCAGATCCTCTCTGCAGTCATCTAGCTCGAGCGACTCGACCCCTGGTACCACGTCAGCAGAAGAAGAAGAAGCCGATGGCGAGAGCGGAGCCAGCCCTACGACGTTCGAAGGAGATGAGCCAGACATAGTTCAAGGCGACCCAGCTACGCCGCTCGCTGAAGCCATGAGTGATGACGGTAGTGACGAGCTCGCGGGTGGTAATACCATTATGAGACCAAGTGAGGTGTCTACAGATTCGCATCGAGGCAGAAGGAAGAAGAAGAATCGCAAGAGCAAGAACGGCAAGAAAAAAGGCGGCAATAGGAATGGCGTCATTACCTACAGTCAGAAGAGTAAGCCTCGCACAGGCTTTGTCAATGGCAGCCAACGCGATCGACTTGGCAGCAAGCACACCAACGAGGACGATATCGACAACCCTTACTACATTCGTCTTGGGGAGTGCATCGTGCTTGACTGGAAGCCCGAAGCTCACGAGAGCTTGTTTGGTGGCAGTGCGGACGTGGCGGATGACATGCGCGGCCATGCATACTGCAACAGCTCTGGCGAGGGCGCTACAGTTTTCAAAGACCCCGAACAAGATGCAAAGAAAGCTAAGCGCGATCTTCGTAAGAAGAAAGGTGTCAATCTTGATGAGTGTTTTGACGTCACAAGTCGATCCGAAGTGCTATCGGAGGACAATGCATGGTACTGCAATCGGTGCAAGGAGCTGCGGCGCGCGACCAAGACTCTGGAGATATGGACTCTTCCTGATATCCTTGTTGTGCATCTGAAGCGATTCGGTGGCAACAGATCTTTTAGAGATAAGGTAGACCTCTTGGTCGACTACCCAATCCAAGGCCTAGACATGACCGACAGAGTCGGTGTGAAAGAGGATGGTAAAGAGTACATCTACGACTTGTTCGCCGTGGACAACCACTATGGAGGTCTTGGTGGCGGACACTACACTGCCATGGCGAAGAACTTCTACGATGGCCAGTGGTATGACTACAATGGTGAGCTACCCTAATTTGCTACAACACAAACCCCGCTGACAATTTACAGACTCGTCGACGCACAAGATAAGCAATGAGGATAACGTCCACTCTGCGGCTGCCTACCTTCTCTTTTACCGCCGTCGATCCGATAAGCCTCTCGGAGGAGAAGAACTTCAAGCTATCGTAAGTGAACACCGCAACCCCTCCACCGCTGCCGAGGACGGCGAAGACGACGAGTCGGGGGAAGCCAAGCTCGGCGGCCGAACTCTCTCTGGCTCGGGGTCGTCGAGCGGCTTGGCCGGAGTCGGAGCCGGGGCGAAGAGCAGCCAGAAGTGCACTCAGGGAGGAAATGGTGGAATTGGAGTCGGAGCAGGGCGCCATCTGACAACGAAGACAACGGAGACGAATAATGATGTCGTGCGCGGCCTGCGTGGAGCGACCTGGAGCCTCGACGCTGCTGACGCGGATGCCGATGCCGATGCTGATGCCGCAGACGCGCTCATCGAGAACGTGGCCGATCAGGACGACGACGACGACGTAGACAGCGGTAGCACGACTGGTGTTCAAGGGGATTCTTATGACTCTGGCATGGATGTGAGTCTTGATTCTCCTCCAGAAATATCATCAAACTCGCCTGATTTTCAGTGGGTTGACGAGCAGCAGCAGAATTGGGATGCTGAGGCACAAGACGACGTTGTGCATGATGTACATCCTGATCTCTACGACTAGGGATGGGGGTGATGATGATATGCGCAATAGTGATAACGGTGCTGCCTCGTCCCACAGGGAATGGCCGGAGAAGTCAGCAGAACCCGACGGCTTTTAGGCTCTCGCGATCCGAGCTGCTTGGTCTTTGGATGATGAGCAAGATGTTACTACTGTCGCACCCGAGACTTCTTTGGTAATAATGCGTGGGCATCGATACGGAAGCAATGATTCGAAAGCTAAATGACTATGGTGAGCTCATGAGGATCAAGATGCAGATGAAGGAGTCACTGCATCAATACATACATGGCACGCTGGCATTGATCGCTTTTGCACACTTTGATGCCGAAGCTCGGGGCCTTTTTTTTACTTGGGCATGGCTGATGATCAGAGTGTCTATAGAGAGTAATATGAAGCAGAGACGTGTACATGAATGAATAGACATTCAAACGACTTGCAATATTCACACATTCGCACTCCACATCAAGCTTACCAGGCAGACCTGTGACCCAACCCACGTTTTCTTTTGTTTCGAATCGCTTACATTTGGAGTAGGTAGGTGGGTGGGTAGATATCAATGTTGTAGAACCACTAGCTTCTTCCATCATCTCCATCGTTATCCTCGTCATCTCCGTCGGCAGATGGATGCATACAGTACTTCGAGACGTACCTGTACTTACTCCAGCTACCTTATCGTACACACTGTACCAGCTCTCATCTTCATCTCTCCCTACTACTCTCCTTCCTCCGCGGCTGTTCTCCAGACTAGTAGTACTGGATCAACCTCATCCAAGACTCCGCCACGTCTACTTGAATCTCTTCTCCGCCGCCTTCCAGTTCACGACATCCCAAATAGCGCTAAAGTACTCCGCCTTGCGATTCTGATACTGCAAGTAGTACGCGTGCTCCCACGCATCAATGCCCAAAATGGGACGAAACTGACCCACCACGGGGTCCTGGTTCGCATATGTCTTGATCTGGATCGCACCAGTGTGGGTATCCTGTACCAACCATGCCCAGCCCGAACCTTGAATCCCCGCCAGAGCAGCGTTGAATTGGGACTTGAGCTTGTCCAATGAACCGTAGGATGCGTCGATGGCTTTGGAGAGGCTGCCGCTGGGTGGTTCGCCGCCGCCTTGGGATTTGGGCGCGAGATTCTCCCAGAAGAGTGTGTGGTTTGTGTGTCCACCTAGAAAGGAAAGAAGATTGCGGGTGTCAGTTTTCTTTTCGTCTTGCAAGAAGCGTATCTTGTGTGGGTGGTCTTGCTAAGTAGGTAGGGAGAGAGAGAGGGAGAGAGGGGGGTTTCGAACGCGCGTACCTCCGTGGAAGTTGATCAATGGCTGAATGGCAATTTGTGCCTGAATATCGCCCTTTTGCTGTGCCTCCTGCAGTTTCTCAATCTGCGTGTTGTAGGATGTCACGTAGGTGTTGTGGTGCTTGGAGTGGTGCAGCTCCATGATTTGGCCAGAGATGGCTGGCTCGAGTGCGCCATAGTCGTCTGTTACAACATCTCGTCAGATCCATCTTCCCCGTTACTGTGTTATTGTCTGTCTTGTGGGGGAATGGTTTGGAGTCTATCGTACAGGACAGGTCTGGCAATGTCGCTTTGCCGCGTGTGAAGGTGGTGCTAGCAAGTGCTGCTCTCTTGGTCGCTGATGGGGCGGACGAGCGGAGTGCAGTGCGCAGGGCGCTTTGGCGGAGCAGTGTAGTTGCCATTGTGGTTGATGTACTGACAGGTCGTGATGAAGTCCAAGGAGCAGTGGGGAGATTGCCAAATACAACTTATCGAGCTTCAGAGGAGCTCTGCCGCCCGGACGTCATGCCGTCGGCCGTCTGGTCCGAAGTGCCGATGAAGTGAGAATCACCATCATCTGCTACGGAACCGTCTAGAAGGGCGGCGGCAACAGAGCAGCTGAGTCTATGAGACTACATGTACACCAGCTCGCTGCAAATACGAAATCACTCACATTCAGCTACACCGCATGTATGGGTGGAGGAATAACCATTCGTTCTAAAACTAGCACATGCAGCTTTTACTGTTCCATAGCTTCATTCGAGGCAGTTTGAGGCCCTGACACGAGCTCTCTGATGGCATGCTGCGACCCTCATATCTGCTCGCTGACGGAGGGTCCTGATAGAGAGTGCATATATATATTCGAGACAGTACAATAGTACAACGTATCTGGGATTGCTATACAGGCGGATTCTGGTATGGGCTGATATCTATTCCATCGCGACTTGGTTTCAGCCTCGTAACCTGGCGGCTTCAAGAAGGTTTTTTATCGATCGAGACGGGAGATAAATCGTTGTGAGGTCTACCGGAGCTGTCGGAATAGCTTAGGCGCGGCGCATGCGGTCGCGCAGTGCATCATGTGGAAGACTATGAGGAGTCAGTGGGAGTTCCACACTTTCAATTCTCCCCAAAAACTTTGGTTTGAGTGCCGGTATTGACTTACACTCCTCGACGCAGTCTTCATCGGCCTTGCCGTGCTGCTCCGTCTGGTGCTTTACGCGCTCAGCGCACTCGTCGTAATGGTGCTTCAATGGCGCGCATTGCTTGGTCTGCAGGCACTCTATACAACCGTTCTGTTAGCCTGCTGTTCTGGGTCGTATGCATGCCAGTTACAAGGCCTGCTCAGGCGCACAGTGCTAGCGCTGGCGGCGCTCCTTCTCTGATGCGATGTGCGAGTTCAAGTGTATTTGGACAGCACTTACCCTCCTCGAGCTTTGGCTTGATGTCCTCTGGCTCTTCCTCTTCTTCTTCTTCTTCCTCCTCCTCCTCTTCTGCGTCATCTCCACCCTCCTCATCGCCGCCCTCGGCCTCGCCATCATCACTCTTCTCTTCCTTCTCCTCGCTCTCTTCGTCACCACCTACGCGGTAACGTGTTAGTTCGCAGTCTTCGGGGCCATAGGCACGCCTCCAGATCGTGGATGGCCTGGCAGCGATGATCCTTTTGCCTCCAATGCTTCTTCTCACCTTGATCTTTCTGCGGCTCCTCGGCCTCGGCCTCCCTAACGGTCAGCGCCTCGTAGAGATCGGAGACATAGTCGAAGATTCCCATCGTGGCGGTAGATGGGATGGTCTGCGTAATGAGCCAATGGCTATCTGGACAAGTGCTGAAGGCAAGATTTGTTGCTGCGAAGGTCCGAAGGGAGTTCGGGAAAGAACGTTGCGGAAAGAGCCGCAAAGTTGTCAGCGTGCCAGGAACGATCTTGGTTGGTCAACTTATCCTCGAGTCCTCGACTTGCATTACCTCACCTACATAGTAGACTGTATGACTAGGATTACTGTAGCGGATTCAATCGGTACACTCTAGCACAAGGACAAGTATCTCATCAGAGTAACACCGCGATGACAAGACGCCCAAGGCGCGTTAAAGATAAACCCAAAAGACACTGATGAAACTCACTCTGCCTGCAGATGCTACATCAGGTCGCCATTTCAAGTGCACTATGTACTTTCTTCATCAAGATAATGAGTGAAGACAGCAGCACTGACGATGAGATTCTGCCACGAATGGTAGTAGATAGGCCACGCACTCTACTCTCTCCGAATGAGGCCGACGAAAATATACACAAAAAGCAGTGGGATAAGATCATTACAAACATCTCGAACATTAAGGTACCTCTCCCTTATCGTATTTTCCGCAGCTTCCGTTTTCCTCTCTCCATCCACTCAAACCACTCAAACCACCAAAAAAATCCCTTACAACAAGAATGCACCGAACCCAACAATCATGGCGCCGAGACCACTCAGAGCGCCAGTGGTCGATGCTCCTCCCGTGTACTTGGCAGGAGAGGCAGGCATGGTACCGTTGGGCTTGCTTGGAACTGGCGTGACCGTAGATGCTGGCGTGTATTCTGGAGCTTTTGGTGCCTCTGGTGACTTGGGTGCCTCGGGTGACATTGGTGCCTCTGGAGCCTTTGGTGCTTCGGGCGACTTTGGTGCCTCGGGAGCCATAGGTGCCTCTGGTGACTTGGGTGCCTCGGGCGTGTATTCTGGAGCCTTCGGTGCTTCTGGTGACTTCGGTGGCTCCGGGCTGTACTCAGGAGCTTTTGGTGGTTCTGGGCTGTACTCAGGAGCCTTTGGTGGTTCTGGGCTGTACTCAGGAGCCTTTGGTGGCTCTGGGCCGTACCCGGGAGCTTTCGGTGGCTCGCTGTACTCTGGCGCCTTCGGTGGCTCTGGAGTGTACTCAGGAGCCTTTGGCGGCTCTGGGCCGTACCCGGGAGCCTTCGGTGGCTCGCTGTACTCTGGCGCCTTCGGTGGCTCTGGCGCT